AAATTGACAAGATTGATATGTTTTCTGAATTTGGAGGGACCTAGAAAAATTTTAAAAGGAGAGAAGCTTAGTAAAATTGGGTATTGTGACTTATAGGGGGTTTTTGTTGGCTGGACCGATTTCGACAAATGAGGTGTCATTCGAAAGAGCTCGCCGAGCTGAGTCGATCGCGGGGTGAGAGAAGTCGATCCGACAATCAGGGACCGAGATACAGACCCCTGAAGTTTGAAAAAGAGAAGGGGGGAGTAAGCTCATTTTGGGGTGAAAAATTCGAAAATGCAAATAATAGCTCATTCGACTCAGCTCGTCGAGCTGAGTCGAATGACACCAAAATCACCGAAATCCGACTTGATTTGACAAAGTTATGATCGTTCGTTTTAGCTCCTTACCTATGGTCATTGTTGAGGTTTTTGCTACTACGGAGGCCCCTAGTACGTTCAGAGCAAAGGGAGATAGGAATAGGTTTATGTTACTGACCCAGACCCAGCGACCGTTGACTCCCCGCGAGGCGCGTGCCGCGAAACTCCGCGCGAAGCGCGGAGTTTCGCACAAGCGCCTCGCCGACGCTCCATAGGTTTATGTTGACCATTTTGAACTTGTTTATTTTGGCTCAGAATCAAGATATCGAGCTGATTTTGGTGTCATTCGACTCAGCTCGACGAGCTGAGTCGAATGAGCTATTATTTGCATTTTCGAATTTTTCACCCCAAAATGAGCTTACTCCCCCCATCTCTTTTTCAAACTTCAGGGGTCTGTATCTCGGTCCTTGATTGTCGGATCGACTTCTCCCACCCCGCGATCGACTCAGCTCGGTGAGCTCTTTCGAATGACACCTCATTTGTCGAAATCGGTCCAGCCAACAAAAACCCCCTATAAGTCACAACATTCATAAAATTAATTTAATTGAGCCATTCTCACTAAAAAATAATAAATATAAAAAGGAAATGGAATATTCTCATATTGAAATTTGTGTAAAATTTGAAAATCCTGGCAATTATTTTTTAATTATTGCGAATCCATTCATTGACGGTTTTATTCAATTCTACGTTAAAATTGAAAAGGAAAATGAGGAAAAATGTGTGTTCAAAATTTTTAAGAAAATGGAAGTTTTGGAGAAAAAAGTGTTGAAAAATTTAAGAAGTTCCCTATCAATTTACGTAACAAAAACAAAAATTGATAATATTGAGGATGGTCAAATGAATATTTATAATGAATGGATGTCAAATAATTGTCAATTAAATAATAACATTGCTTCAATAGAGCCATATCTAAATGAAAGGATTTTTAAATTTTATTTATTGTTAGACAAGGAACGAATAACAAGAGAAGTTGAAAAAATGGATGATTCGAATAATGAAATAATAAATTTCAATAAATAAAAAACTGAATGTAGCAAAAATAAAATTTAAGAAATTCCCTGGTACTATCGCATTATACGCCAACATTTTATTTTGTTCCTCTTTTTTTCCTTTCTACAAAAACGAACACAAGGTGATGCCAGATAATCCGGCAGGAGAGAGAAAATATTAATGAGAAATTCAAAAAATATCGAAAATAACGACCGGACAGAAATTAGTCTGTGCCATATGTTGGGTTACGCCCCGAACGCTCGGGGGCGGTTGTGTAGAGGTACGGGATTTTCAAATTGTTTCGGGGATTTTCGAATTTTTTTTCTTGGCGTATAATAGTGCCAATTCCTTTAAAGCTTTCCATCCGATTGTAAATTTAAGTAATTGCAATGTGTTAAAATCTTTATAATTTTTCTATCATTTCGTAATATTATTTAAAATTTTGTCGACTCTAACGCTTATATATGTGATAAAAATTTTTTGTTCCAGTGTTGAGAAAGTGTTCAATAATCTTAAATTTTTAGAAAAAAAACTAAACAGTAACGTAATGACAAAATCACACTAAAACTAGTCTATTTTTTAGTGTTGGTCAAACGCGATTTTTCGGTATCGGTATTTTCGGTAAAATACCGATACCGAAAAAATACCGATTTTTTAAAAATTGTTCGGTACCGTATTCGGTATCGGTATTTCGGTAAAAATACGGCGGTATTACCGAAAAATACCGCCGTAATACGGTACCGTGACCAACACTACTATTTTTATCAATTTTATATCAAGTTTGAGTAATACATTATATGTATGTTAGCGTATTTTATAATATGTATAAACTCCGTTCCAAAAAACCTCGACACCCCCAATTTTTCGGATAAATCGACTTACAGTTGTCTAAATTTTTATGAACTTTTTATATATTGATTCAGCGGCTAAAACTACGTTATTTTACAAAAAATTTTTGAAAACCGATAATTTTATCAAAAGTTGTGGTAAATTTTCAAAAAACCAGGCGTTCCAAATATCCTCAAACAGTTTGTAAAAATACCGATAATTACGGAAAGGAGGTAGCTAAAATTTTATAAAAATTTCTATGAACATAACTATCAATAGGTATACAAAATAGAAAAAAACGAAGTCGAAAACTGCTTTTATCATCGAGATCTCAAATCTCGAAAATCAACGGAAAATAGGGTTACAGTAATTTAAAAAATATTTTAACCAATTTAAAGAAAATATTAAAAATTTTCTTTAAGCCTATCTGAAAGCCAATAAAATTTGCTACAAGATACAAAATGACACAATTTTCTAAAAAATTTATCCTTGTCGGCATTAATGCTTAAATAACTAGCATGCCAAAAATAGCCTAAAAATGCACTATTATTGGTAAACGGTTATTCTAGCTTGAGTATTTACCGGATAAATTTTTTTAGAAAATTGTGTCATTTTGTATCTTGTAGCAAATTTTATTGGCTTTCAGATAGGCTTAAAGAAAATTTTTAATATTTTCTTTAAATTGGTTAAAATATTTTTTAAATTACTGTAACCCTATTTTCCGTTGATTTTCGAGATTTGAGATCTCGATGATAAAAGCAGTTTTCGACTTCGTTTTTTTCTATTTTGTATACCTATTGATAGTTATGTTCATAGAAATTTTTATAAAATTTTAGCTACCTCCTTTCCGTAATTATCGGTATTTTTACAAACTGTTTGAGGATATTTGGAACGCCTGGTTTTTTGAAAATTTACCACAACTTTTGATAAAATTATCGGTTTTCAAAAATTTTTTGTAAAATAACGTAGTTTTAGCCGCTGAATCAATATATAAAAAGTTCATAAAAATTTAGACAACTGTAAGTCGATTTATCCGAAAAATTGGGGGTGTCGAGGTTTTTTGGAACGGAGTTTTTTTATTTGGCCTGTTTCCATGATGATTAAAATCTCCGATTAATTACACCTTCAGCTACAAATCGGAAAGGTCTAATATCCATCTTAATCCTCCGATATCTTTCGAAAGCATTGATATCCTCTTAATTACTCACTCAAAATAGTCCGATATCCCTCCAAATTAAACTTAACCCTCTGATTTCCTCTTATATCCCTATAAATCCTCTGATATCCCTCCAAAGCACTCACTCAATTTTTAAATACGTTACGGATTACTGAATATTCTTATTGGTATTTATAGGTATCGGTTATTTTCGGTAGTACGATACGTATACGGTACCGCACAAATTTTCAATCTGTAAAAATAGTAAATATTTATCATGATTTGAATATAGAAAATTGCAAAAAAAGATTAATAATACAAAATAACTCAATTCTTTCAAGTTAAAAATATATTTTTAAGTCACTTAAAAATAAATCTGGTTAATTTTGAAATAATTAAAAAGTTGTGTAATTGGTTAAAATACAAGAGACCGGCCAAGTTCGTAAATTAGAAGTTTGATCAAATTATTTTTCGTTACTACCGACTAGGTTGGCGGTTGCTGGGAAACCTCTGAATATCCGGAACGGAACCGATATCAGAACCGAAGATTTCTGATATTTGGAACCGGTATTCGAAAATTCACAGATATCCGGGGTTTTCGTTTCAGGATACCCGGAACCGTTCACCTTACGACTAACTTTCCCTCACCCATCATATACCATCGGCCATGTTTTTGACTACGGGTGAGATAAAAAAAGCGAGCTTAAAACTTTTGGATCATAAAGGAAAGCGGCAGCAGACTAGTGTTCGGCACGGTACGGTATACCGCGGTATTTTTCCCGGTATACCGCGGTATTTTTTTCCGGTATACCGATACCGTACCGGTCAAATTTTGAAAAAAACGGTATTTTTCGGTATCGGTATTTTTTCGGTATACCGATACCGATACCGTACCGGTCCTCGAAAAAATACCGCGGTATTTTCCGGTATTTCGGTATTTGTGAAATTCTCAAAATTTTCGCCTGCGGCGCTGAAAAAGGAAGAAATCTGTCTTCTGGTCTTCCAAAATTCTCAAAATTTTCGCCTGCGGCGCTGAAAAAGGATATATAGGGACATTCTATTAGAGGGGGCATTGTATTTTTCAATTATCCTGTTGGGGCATTCTATTAAAGGAGGATATTCTAATGGTGGGGGCATAGTAATTTTCAATCATCCTACAGTGGACATACTATTAAAGCAGGTATTCTAATGGAGGGGGCATTGTATTTTTCAATTAGCTAAATGTCGAGCAATTGTTGGACATTTTGCTGATTCAAATCTTGCCTATGATCGATTAGAAGAAGCTCAAGTCCTTGAGATTGTTAAGATTTATTGTTAAAATTTTAAAATTAAAATTTAAAAAATTTTATAAAATTTTTTAAAAAATACCGAATACCGGCCGGTATACCGAAAATGTTGAGACGGTATTTTCCGGTATCGGTATTTTTCCGGTATACCGATACCGATACCGTACCGGTCAATTTTTGTAAAAAACGGTATTTTTCCGTATCGGTATTTTTTCGGTATACCGATACCGAATACCGGAAAAGGTCATTTGCCGAACACTACAGCAGACCCATAGGCTTAAATAAAATTTGATCAAAGCTCGGATTCTCACAAATCAAAATTTGAATAGCCTGGTCTCTATCAATTAATATATATCTTCAAATTTATTCCTCCCCTTCAATTTAATTCTGTCTCACAATAATAACATTCCCTTGATTACTTCGAGTACTCCCAAAAACACGTTGATATGTCCCAATATAAGTATAACACTGAGTACAGCGATGCTGGCAATCTTTACAGCTGTCAACACAAAACGGTATGAGACAGCAACAACAAACAAATCTTCAAAGGATTTATTTTTTTTAATTTAAAAATATATTTAATTAACCCAAAAATAATAAAGACAAAAACCAATATCCAAGTAAGCAAACCAGAAACATATTTAACTTCAGTTAGTGTATGCTGTTTACATGTAGGGCAATAAGCCTAATAATATAATATTTTTAATTAAATAATCCTCTCTAATTTTATCTATTATTTTGGGTATAGAAATTTTTGTTGGAATTTATTAAATTTTTTAAAATAATTTTTTCGAATTCTAAAAATGGAACCGACCCGATGAACCAAGGTTTTTTTCGGTACGGTTGCGAATATCCTGAATTTTAGGTTCGTATACTGATTCAGTTGATTAGAAAACAAAGTGATTCTTAGCCTTCTGAATTTTCTTCTTAATTTAAAGTTTTGTAGCATTAAAAGTATAAATTTTTGCCTTCCTAAACTACTGGAAATCTCAAAAAGTTTCCGTTCGGGTCCGATAACCTGAAAATTTTCCAGGAACCGACAGCCTCTAATTTGGTGACTTTATCTTATTCAATTTTATATTCGTTTAATAATGGAGCTAATTTCATTAAGGTATTCAGAATTTGTTTTAAAATAAATTTTAAAATTTTTTACTTGTTGCGGAAAAGGTCCAAGAAACTGGTCAACATTAGGATGTGGATGTGAATAAGGAGCATCATCATTCTGTGGAGGAATACCCATTAAAGGTTGTGGAAAAGTTTGGTCATTAAATTCCGGAATTGGTGGATAAACGTGGGCAGAATCGTCTAAAGGAGGTGCTGTCCCTGTTGTTTCGTCATAACTGGGTGGTGGGGGGACTTTCATTCTTTTGAAATAATTATTTTTTTTTAATATCTAAAATTAGTATTTAAAGAAATTTTAGAAAGAAAATAAAAATAAATTTTGTTATTCAACAAATAATAAAAATAAGAAAAATTTTTTTTCTATTTCCATTTAAAAATCAAAGATTAAAAATATAAATAAAATTTTGAGAAAACATTTCATAAAAAAATCCATCAATATAGTTCCAAAAAACCTTATTTCTATGACTTTATGTATCATTATATTTATGATGATGGACGAGCACGTTGCTTTATCTTATTCTGAGTTTTATCAGAAATACCAAAAAAACATGTTTTTTGAACGTTTTACACTGACAAATATGTCGAAGTCACAGAAAATAGTTGACCTGGCCCTAATACATATGTATTTCCTTATAATTTTTATTAAATTTAAAACCTTTATAGAAACATTTTTGAAGTTAACAAAGTCACTCATTTTTCTTCTCAATTTTAATAAAACTATCAAACAGTTAGCATCAAAATCCAACAAAATGATTTAAAATTATAGCCAAAATTCTATAAAAATTTTATGAAATTTCAATTTAAAATTACTTTTAGAAAAGCCAATTTGTATTTGAAGATTTGTACAAAATATCTGCATAAATCAACATATTGTTTCTACATGCTGGACAAGCTTTCTATAATAATTTTAAAAATTTTTAAATTTTATTTTGTGTAGATTAAAATAGTTAGAATTTTAATTGGAGTATTTTTTTATTTTATTTTTACAATTTATGACTCATCCGCACAAAAATATTTAATCAATTGTATGGTAAAAAAATTCTATTTGGAAAGAATTTGATGAAATGTTTTATATACATATTTACTAGAAAAATTTAAAATAATTAAAGTCGTAATTTAGTCTTTTCAGTAGAATTTTTAATATATGTATTACTTAATTGGGAAAAATATTTTTGTAAAAGATTCATTTAAAACTACATCTTTAAGTATAGAAAGTAAAGTTTAAACCAGGACAGGATATGGGTCGGGATATTGATCCAGAAAATCCGGTCCAGATAAAGATTTTCTTTAAATCCCGAAACGGAACATTGATTTAAACTAATATAAGCTAATGTTTGTTAGTTTATAGTGGACGATAACTATGCTTTTTTTTCTCTTGTGAATCCTAAACCCATTCCTAACCATTATACTAACATTAATATTTTTTGAAATACTTAAAAAGTGATCGGAAATGAACATTGATCTAATAATAATCTATTTTAGTTTGATATTTTAACAAATAATATGTAGAAAAAGTGTAAAGACTAAAAAACGATTTCTTTCTTTCTATGCTAGAAGTAAAGGAAAAGCAGCTTCTCTTATTTGCCTAGCACTTGGCCATTATTCTTTTGCCAAAAAGAAGAGAAAAATGAAAAAGAAACTATCGATATTTGAAAATATGGGTTAAGCTAGTGTTTGTTTGTTTGGGTATTGAGAATTAACGTCATTAGAAATTCGACTTGAAGAATTTTCAAATTTTGGGGATTATGTCTCAGGCAGAATCCAGGCGATTTATCTCCATAAATCCAGGTATTATGCTTTAGAATAAGGGGCATTAACCAATTCTGAGGTAAATATGTAAGATTGAAGGGCAAGTAAAAGAAACGCAAAAATAAAATGAAGATCAAGCAAAAGTCGAAAATTCAGAAAAATCTTGGAAGCAAAAGCAATCACTCATTTGTGATACATAAATTAAAGATATAGGTATCTACCTTCCAAAAGTTTTTAACAGTACTCTGGCGTTTTCCTAAAATATTTTCAGACTTACTATTATTTTGTGTAATATTTCGTTCCAAACACTTTGTTGAATTAAGTATTTTTAGAATAACTGATTCGCATTGTCTCCCTCTGTTGTCTTCAAATCTAACAATAATTCTATAGAAATTTTTAAAAATTATTTTTAAATTAGTTTCAAATTTAAAAATACACGAAAATCCATGCTAAAATACAGAATATACACAAACATTTTAAAATCATTATTCTAGTGATAATTCGTTGTTTACACGTTTGGCAGTTACGCTATAAATTTGATAAAAATTAATTTATAAATTAAATTAATTTTAAAATAATCTCAGTTATATGTGTAAATCTTCGGGGAAAAACCGTAAAATTGAGGAGCATTTGGGGTAATAATAGGAGAAAATCAAAGGATTTTAAATTATTTGATCAAATATTTAACTCGTTTTAAAATTAAACTCTCCCTTACTTGAGGAATATTTGACTGTTGATTGGTATTCTCTTGAGTGTCGTTTGTATCTTGAGTGTTGTTTTGTTCTAAAAGGTGTGTTTCTGCTGCCTCAACAGGAGGCGCCTCATGATAACTTGGAGGTGAAGAGAGTAATTCATCATTATTAGAAGAAGACAAACTCGTCCTTACTTGAGGAAGATATGATATTAGATTGTTGCTAATGTTGTTTTGCTCCATAAGGGATGTTTCTGATGTCTCAACATAACTAGGAGGTGTTTCATGATAACTTGGGGGTAACAAAACCATCTCTTCATAATCAGAAGATGACACACTCATTTCTTCGAAAAATATTTTTTAATTTAAATTTAAAGAAAATTAATAAAAAAATAAAAATTTGAAGAGAATCAATTAAGAAAATTTTTAAAAATTTAATTAAAAAAATTTTATGCTTAGAAACTATAAATAAATCAGACAAAAAGCATTTTTCTGGTTAATAAATTGAACATATTAAGCTAATGGCATTATTTAATTAAAAATATTAAGAACGAATTTTTAGTTAATTTTATTAATAATATAGATAAATGACTTGAATAATTAGAGGGATTATTTAGATAAAAAGTATAAAATAAAAAGCAAAAAGGCATTAAAAATTGGAGATTTGTAAATTTACAAATTTTTAATTAATTTATCCACAGTGGAATCTCTCTGTAACATCGTCATTTTTCTCTTCTATCAGTAAATGTAAACCTTAGGGATGTCTAATAAAGCGAGATTCCACCCTTGCGATCCAACTACCGTATTTTCTTTATTAGAATGGCACCCTCCATTTGAATGGCCACTTCTAATAGAATGGCCCCTTGGAGGATGATTGAAAGATAGAATGGTCGGCCATTATATTAAAGGAAATACGGTAATCGTTAGACATAATACCACATTTTTTTAATTTTTAAAGATTTTTAAAGAAAATATTATCATCAGCTGCCCAAATAAAACATTTAGAACCCAGATATCATTGAAAAATTGACACTAAACTTGTTTGACTATTACAACATTTGGGGCTCTTGATTTACTCCCCAAACGTGTATAAGTCCCAATATAAGTGTCGCATCGAGTGCAACGATGTTCAGCATCTTTACAGCTGTCAACGCAAAAAGGAATACAACAGCAACCACAAAAGAGTCTTCAAAAATTAAAAAATAATATTTTGTTTCAATTAAAAGAATTACCCAAAAAGCAAAAACAAAAAGCACAATAACCAAGCAAACGTTCCAGAAACATAATTGACACTAGTCTGAACTTGTTGTCTACATGAATGACAATAAGCCTAAAATTGAGCGGAAATTTTTTTTAATATTTTGCAGATTTTTGTATCTCTGGGTAAATATTATTACAGTCTCTTGCAGGAAAGTAGAGATCAAAATTTTTGAAAAGCCTAGACCTTTTCCTGGACTCTGGAGTTTGATATATTGATCTGGACTGGAACCTGGGTCTGTAGTCCAGTAAAAACCCAGGAAGGTAAAAAAATGGCTGGACCTGGACTCTGGGTAAAGTAAAAACCCAGGCCTTGGCCCAGACCTAGCATGATCTCTACTGGAAAGTAAATATATTTCGGGAAGGGTAATTAATCGAGTAAATATGATAATCAAAATTTATTGAGAAAAGAAATGCCAAATACCGAACACATTCCCTTAAATCCTAAAGCTTCTCAAGTTTTCAGTTCCGAAAGCTTTAAATGGCATCCTTAACTAACGATTGTTAGCCAAAATTCAAAAAGCAAATTTACAAAAATATTTTTAATTTACCTGTTGCGGAAAGGGTCCAAGAGCTAAAGTCGATTGAGGGATAGTAACTTGTGCAGTTTCCATTATTTGAGGATTTGGTGGATACACACTTATATTTTCGTGTGTTGTTTCGTGATAATTTGGAGGAGGCACTTTCATTTAATTTTTTTTCTTAAAAATTTTACGATAAAAAAACGAAAATGCAAATAAAAATCTTTCAAAATTTGCAAATTTTTTCATAAAATTTTAAAATAAAATCTCAATTCCAAACTAAAATCTGAGTCACTTCAAAAAAATGGAGTCTCGTTCCTTTTAAAATATTTAGTTTTTTGGCCAACTTTTTAGGCCAAAAAATAAATAGTGATGAGTAAGGAGGCCTTTAGAGAGTAATCGATTTAAAAAAAGTAAAAAAGGCTGGCAGGAATAAATATTTATTTGTGTGTTTGTGAATATTTCTTTTATTTTTTGACACTCCCTCTAAATTTTTGGGACAATTTTAAATTTAATTTGATAGGAATTTTTGGTATTGAAATTTTAATTTATTTTTATAAGCGGTTTAAAATTGATAAAATATATTTAAGACAGATATTAAATTTTGAAGTGGAAATTTATTTCATTTGTTAATTATTAAGCCAGGTGTTTGCATTATTATAAGTAATTATTAACCCAGGTTTGACCCCTCACTAATCAAAATTACTGCTTAAATAACAATTAAATTAGGGAGAGAAAAGAGTTATTCGATTACAGATACATATAACGAACCCAAAAGGACCGAAAAGCTGATTAAATCGAGAGACATTTTAAGGAGAAATATTAGAGTTTAGTCGAAAAAGTGTTCGTATTTTGAGAGGCTCGTTACAACAAATGGTCACGGGTACACCCTAATCTACCTCGAGCCTAACCTGCCGCCGAGGCTATAACTTTGTTCAAAATTGTCGAATCTGAGACAACTTGGTATGAATTGGATTCAGCTCGTCGAGAAGTATCGAAACATACCAAGTCGTCCCGGATTCGACAATTCTGAGAGAAGTTATAGCCTCGGCGGTAGGTTGGCATGCTCCCAAGGGTCACATATCTAGGTTCAAGTTTTAGACAAAGGAAGTTTTTTTTTAAAAAGTACTTTTACTTTTTTGTCCTATATATTGTTTTAATTTAATTCTAGTTTAAAATTTATTTATCAAATTTAAAAAATATTAATTAAACTAATCACGAGAATTTCGAAAAATAAAAAAAATAATAAAATAAATGATGTAATGTGTTTACAAAAAATATTTAAAAAATTCTTTTTTTAAATGTCTGATTACTAAATAATTTATAATCATTTAAGAGAGGATTGATTTTTAAAACAGTGGGTATAAAATTTTGATGAAAAAAAAGATAAAGTGAACACACAAATTGATGACACATTACTTTAAAATTTAAACAAAAATTCAAATAAAAAATAATTTTTTAAAATTAAATTGGATGTTAAATAAGCTTTATTATAAATAAAGATAGTGGTTCAGATATCCAAAATCCTCGATTCGGATATCGATTCCGGATGAGGATATATGAAAATTCCCTAGGATCCGCCAAGAAAACCGTTGAAATTTCTTACCAGTCAGTTGATAATATAATGTTAGCCTGTTCTTAACTAGTGTAAGGATGGTCCGCCTAGAAACATTTTAAACGCTTATTTGTTAGGTGGGGGTTAAAATATCTATAAAGGGAAAAGGTAAGCATTAGTCGATGCCCCGGTAGCTCAGTGGTAGAGCATGTGAGCAAGGCCGAGCGATTACTGTTAGCGTTGTCGCAAGTTCAAATCTTGCCCTGTGGCTTTCTCTAGTAGATACACTTTTAAAGGATGCCAAATATGTTAATACTCCAATCCAATATATATCCTCAGTTTTGAATATGATTTCTTAACACCGAATGTTGAATTACGAGATCCGACAGTTTATACATTGACTTTGGATTCTCATGTCTCTTATTTTTTCCATCACTATCTATGTTGAAAAAACAGCCTTAATTTTATTTAAAATAACATCATAGTAATTTAAAAAATCAATTAATTTATCAAAAATAAAAAATCAAAAAAAAAAACAATTAAAAAATAATTTGTTTAAAAATAATGATAAATTACCAATTTATTATTTTTTTTCTAAAATTTTATTAAATTTGTAATATTTCCTTTTTCATTAAAAAATTTAAAAAAAAATGTCTGACAAATTAATTAAAAAATTAATTATTTTAATTATTTTATTTTGTTTAAATTTAAAAATAAATGGAGGTAATCCAAGCTTAGAAGAATGTAATGAAGTTATGAAAAAAGGAAGTCGAATTTATGGATCTAGAGACGGCAAGTAAAAATAATTTTTGTATTTTTTAGGAAATACATATGTAGGGCTGACGTTGTCGAGTCGGGTCGACGTTCGAGACATTTTATTCGGGACTCATTTTTTCGGATCGGACCGACCGAGTCTTTTTCGGGCCAAAATTCCATGTCCAACTCGATCTTTCGGACCTGTCCGGACCGGGCAGGCAACCCTAGAAATATGAAATCTTTCAGAATATCTTTGGAAGAAAATATATTTTAATAAAAATTAATGTCGGATCCTCCTTTTAAATGCAGCCTTAAGGCTGAAATATCGTGTTTAAAAATAAATACACTTAAATTATTATCTGTACCCTTTTAAGGATTAAGCATATTAATAAACTGGGGCGGAAAACACTCTAGGCACATGCTGACACAAAAATAATATGGTTGACGAAGAATTTTTTAGATTCAAAAGACCAAAGCCTTATTCCTTCCCTTTTTTGATATTTTGAACTTTCTATCGGAAATCCTTAATTTTTGGATAAGCATATAAAATGCATTAATGTATTAATTGCTTTAAATATTAGTAAATGGATTATATTAATGCATTAAGTGCTTTCTAATAAATTTCCTTATAAATCTTTGCATTCTGACCGAAATTAAGTTCTTGGAAATGGACATAAACGGTTTAAAACCGGAATTTTTGATATTTTTTGCCTCAAAATTAACCGATTTAGATAATTTTAAAAACCGAAACAGGGTATTTTAAAATTGGATTAAGCGAAAACCGGAGGGTAATGGTTAATAACTGGTTGTGTCCAACCCTAATTAAAATGTCTAATTATAAGTAAATATGTAAAGAATTATAAATCTCAGTGTATGTATTTTTGACATAAAAATCTATTTAATTTTATCATATTAAAATACATATTTAATAAAAGATGTTTCAAAGACGTATTTGAATGTATTTTCAAATTATACATAAACTATACATGCGATCATCATTCGGACCCAAATCACAAATATTTTGGAAATAATTCTTGTGAATATACTTATTCTACTTGTGCTACTTTTATTAAAGAAAAGAAAAATAAATGTATAATTGGAATGTGTGATTGTTATATGTGGGTTTTGAATGAAAAAATTAAAAAAGACATTCTTTAGTATATAACAGAGGTGGGTCGGAACAGTCAGAGGTGTCGGAAATCAGAAGAGCTGGAAATCGGAGCTGGCTCAAAAGTCGGAACTCGGAATTCCGACCCACCTCCGCTATAGACTAGTTAATAAATATTTTTTGAAGTTTTTACTAGACAAATTTCAGGCCTATGATAGACTGTTTTAGCAAAAACCAATGTACACCGGTATCTAATAAAAGTTTTGCCATGCCGATAAGAAGTTAGATTATTATTAAATTTATTTTTAGGATTTTTTCCTATTTCTCCAAATTTCATTTCCAAAGTTATTTATCTAACAGAGATTTTCTAAAAAACGAGGGTTAAACTAATATTACTCGTCATAAATATTTTAATTTCTATTTAATTCAGAACTCCGTTCAACGGATAATGATTTAATTTTTGATGGAGTTGTCAATGGATTTCTCCCTGAAGTCAAAAATTAAATAAAAGGAAATTTATTTGTTAAAAATTAAATTTAAATTTTTTGTAAAAAAAATTTTTCTTAAATAAAAATTAATCAACTTTGGTTATTTGTTTTCTGGATTTAATGGATAAATTTAAGATGGATATGGGTGGTTGTCGGTTCTGGACAGAACCAACACGAAGAACCAGGATTTTTCGGGTTGGTTCCGGATCTCCGAAGATTTTCCAAGAACCGACAACCCTAATCCTGATATTAACGAGGATAATAGGGCTACATATTCTATTTGTAATAGATTAACTCATTCATATAGAATCATTTTAGAAATAGAAGGAATAGTGATCGGAATTTCGTACGTAATACCGAAAAATGTAGAAAAATAACCAAAATTATGTAAAATACGATAAATACTGCTGAAATTGAAATTTTATCGGATGGTTTTCCGTAACTACCTATACGTAATATTGAAAATATCGTCGGTAGTACTGTAAGTTCCATAGTAGATTGAACAAAATGAAAAACACGAATTAGAATAAAAAACAAAATAAAATTTAAATATAAAGACTCGAACTCGGCAACAGATATTACAATCAAATTGGCTCAGTTACTTCCTTTTAAAAAGTCGAGAGTTAAACCAAAATGATTTTAAAAGCTTATTTACTATTAAATATTTTAAATAAATCAATTTATGCCTTTAAATTAAAAGAAATATTTCCCCTAAGTGACTGAGCGAGAAGTAAATTTACTAACGAGGAATTTTAGAGTGCAAGACCCATTCTTATTTTTCTCTTAAAAGTTTAAATCAAAAACTACTTTATAAATAATACCCTAGTTTCAACGGAAAAGAAGAGTTATTAGTCAAAAGAATTTGTGAGATAAAAGTAACCATATGATTTTGTGAGATACCGTATTTACTATGATAACAAACCTGGGTAATTATTTTTTGATGCAATCCTCTTGATGGAGGCAATTATTCGAGTTTGAATTTTAAACGTATGGTACGGCATTTGATTAGAAGCATAATAATTGCTTCAACATATCGATGTAGGGAGATGAATAATTATTTGATTGAGTAATTAATACAGGTCATACGGTAGGCCATAACTCTAGGCTAAAAGAATCGAGTCTTCACATACCTGAATACACAATCTGACTATAAACCCCTTCTAATTGCAAGCTCATAATGGTCAAAGTAAATCTATGGCTTCAGTCGATCGACTATGGTTGCTTGGTTTTGCTCAAAGTAACATAAGCCTATTACCTCCTAATAAATGGTGTGTGTTTTCTAAAATAAAAAACATCTTATGATGCAACAGTTGCACCCTGAACGGCTCTATGGGGTTCCAGTATGTGTTTTTACCTTCTTTTTTGTGTTTCCAAAAAGTGTTTCCAAACACTGTTTGGTTTTATAGAAAAAATTTAAGACAAATAAATTTTTCAGGCTAAAATTTTTCCTTTAGCGTTGTTAGCGATTTAAAATTTTTAGAAGGCCAATAAAGGTCGTCTGCCCTCGCCCGCTTTTAATTAGATTTCGCTTCGGGACTTCGGCATTCATTAACATGTGTTTGGTTTCGCTTTGAGCCCTTCGCAACTCGCCCGCTTTTGTATGATTTCGTTTCGAACCTTTGGCACTCGTTCGCATTTGGGCTAGTTTCGCTTTTGGCCTCGGTCCTCGCCCTCTTTTGGATCTCGAACACCTCAAAAAATTATTCAACATTCCCTTGGGCCTGTCTCTAGTATAAGCAGCAGTTTCCGCTATCTCACCCCGCAGCGCAGGGAAAAGCCAATAATTTCCCAAATCCCTAATTCAATTTTACCCTCTAAATTTACCACTTTCAAATCCTCCCTGTTACCGTTTTGCCAAGCAACTTTTTTAAACCCCTGTGTTATCTTGTAGTATTTATATTACAATCAAATTGGCTCGATTAAATCATTTTACCAAGGAGAGAGTTAAGCCAAAACGATCCTTAAAAGCTTATTCCACTCTTAAATTTTTAAAATAAATCAATTTACTCCCTTTAAATTAAAAGAAAATTACCCAAATTTATTAATGAGGAATTTTAAACTGACGAGACTTGTCTATTATTGGCAAATAGATGTGTGTTATTCTAATCATCTACAATTTCTGAAGTTTAAATCAGAAATTGTAGATGATAGTTTCAAGGGACAAGAAAGAGGAGTCTCAAGCTTTAGTTTTTACTGGGTAAACCCAGTACAATAAAAAGTTATGTGATAACTATGATGTTCATGCTGTAGAATAATTCAATGGATAGGAGTTGGAATTGAACCATCATGGAAAGGGTCCAGACCGAAGCATAACCAACTGTGCCACCATCCAAACCGATGATGGACTAATTATTTTTTTATAAGATAGTCTATAACATGTTTAAAAATATATAAGCATGTTTAAAAGTATCGAAAATATGTTTAAAAGTATATTGGAACTGAGGTACTTCAAGGATTGTTTAAAAAAATTATAAGCCTTTCTAATGTTTATTTAGGTGGTCTCGAATTTTTCTGGCTTATCGAGACAAATTTAAAAAAATTAAAGTCGAGAAGTGATCTTTCCCTGGTTTAAATTTCGCAATTGCTTCATTGTGTAGCTTGTGATTAAATTTTATTTAGCGTCTTCCCTGGGTAGTATTTTATGTTGGGAAATTGACATTAATTTTAGTTTTACTTACTTGCCTTCATTTTTAATTTAAATTAAAATATTTTTAAATATAAAGTATTACGGTTAACATTAGAGAAAAGACTCAAAACAAGTTTTATCACCAAAGCTTTTATTAAATTTTATTTTGAATAAGTTGATTAAAGCTTCGGTTAATCTTCTGGAAAGAAAAACAATTTTTAAATATCGGACGATCAAAGCTTTGATTTTTCTTGAAAGCTTTTGATAGCTCTGTTTCGAAGCTTTTCGAGGATATTTTTTCGAGGATTTTACACAATATATAATTTTAGAATAATTCTCTCTTTAAATATTTTTAAATTCCAGAATGTCATTTAACGATTTAACTCAACAATCCATAATATATCAACAATTATTGTCAGAGCAAGCCGGCAATAAAGAGAAAAATTCTCGTCGAATTAATACAAACTGTAATATTTGTGGACGTTTGACATGTTGCTATCTGTTTTATAAAGCTAAATCTGCTAGTTGCGATCGTAAGAAGTTCCTCAAGTTTTGAGTATTTTGATTATTTTACTTAAGGTTGTCGTCAATTTTTCCGACGTACAGCAATTAATCAAAAATTCTATTTGTGCCTGTACGAAGGAAATTGCGTCATATCTGAATGTAAACATTTAATGAAATATTTCCTTTAATTAAGTTGAAACTTAAATTAGAGGAGGCGAGGGTTAATCAGTATACTCGTATATTTCTATTAGACGCAATAAGGGATCCTTAGCGATTTATGGTTTATTCTCTCTACCACTAAACTCGTTATATATATTTAGTTGCTGAGGTGGAATTCCGTTCTGATTCACCAAATTAGGAAATGAGGCAATTTTTTAAAATTTCAAAAATCATTTTTGTTTCAATTACTTCATTTAAAAATTAAACTTTAGTTGGCAATAACTGCAAAAGCTGCCGATTGGATAGATGCATTTTATCTGGAATGAGTACATTTATGTTTAAAGGAGTGACTAAAACATCATTGGCTAAGATAAACGAATTGATGGATAAACGTCGTCGAGAGGTTATTGAGAGAATATTAGAAGGACAGAAGGAGGAAGGGATGTCGTGTTAGATCCGGTTCGGAATGCTCTATTACAACACTTTATTTTTTTAAAGTCCTGTAAAGCATATAGCTATTAATTTCCGAAGGCTGAGCAGTAGGCGGCGTGGTGTAATGGCTAACACATCAGTCCGGTCTACTGAAGATGCTGGTTCGCTCCCAGCCGCCGAATAACCTTTTGCACTAGCTAAAGGAGAGAAATAGCTATAGCCCAGCTGCTTTACTGTCCCAAAGTTATTGACTTGATTAGATAATTTTTTCAATTTTATGAAAGATTTTGGATGGAATTATGTATAATCCATCTGTTGCAACGCTGTCAATAATCGAAAAATTTTTTAAGCGTCCGTTTCACTGTATTTAATCTCCTTTATTAAATTATTTTTTCTTCGTAAAGCATAAATCTAACCTGAACAAACATTTAAATATTTTATTTTAATGATTTTATATTTATATTTAACTCAATTTATAATTTTAAATTAGTATTTTTTATTTAAAAATGAGTAAAACAAAATTTATTTTATTTTATTCCAGAAACAAAATTTAAAACTCAATCAATTTAACTTTGGATTAAGTTTTAATAAATGTCCCTTAATTTCTAATAGATGCTTTACTTTAAATCATGGTATATATTAGGACATTTACGATAAATTAAGATTTAAGCAAGGCTTAACAAACAGGGATGGACGTCATTTTTCAATATATATATGTATATCCGGATCCGAAAAAAGGCCGGGTATCCGAAGATTTACAACTATTCGACAACTTAATATTATTCGACAACTTGCATATTAATGAAGAGCTTCTGATAGATGCCTTTAAATCAGGCTGTATTAGGACATTCAACTAGGACCTCTCTCATTTAAGAGTAGAGTTGTTGGTTCTTGGACCGAAGGAGCGAAAACCTCCAGTTCTTCGGTTCGTTTCCAAACCAACAACCCTATTACAGGAAGAAAGGTCTCCTTACGAATTCTGTCAAGTAAGCGTTAAATGCTAGCGAGCTGGAATTTAATAAGAAATTAATATTAATTCAAATTGTTTGCACAGGACTTTAAATTTTATTTAATATTAAATTAAATTTTAATATGTCATTAACAAATTATATCAATAAAGGATTCAATGAAGTAATGGGAAATGAAAGCCTTCAAAATTTTGGAGATTTAAGTGATATTGAAGAAAATAACGAAGAAATTAAAGTTAAAAATCAAAATGTTGAAGAGAATAAAAATAAAAATTTAAAAATTCGGAAACAGCCAACAAAAACTAAACGCAACCTCAACCCAATTCCAACAGAATGTTGTATCTGTGGGCGTGTAGCTAGTGGATATATCTATTATGGGGTAAATTGTTGTGATGGTATAGATTTATTTGGAAGTTTTAATTAATATAGTAGATATTGTTTTCAGGCTGTAAACACTTTTTTCACCGTTCCATTACTTCAAAAAACAAATATAAATGTGAAAAAGATGGCAATTGTAATTTGTCTAATAGTAATTTTTTGCTATTAAATGGTGGAGGGATGTTAATGATATTATGTGGAGACAAAGATGGGGATCACGGCTGGACATGACCGGTTACAACCGGTGACCAAAAACACCGGTTAACGGTTCTGCTCCAGTTGACAGTTTGTATCCAACCCTAATGGAGACTATCTTAGAAAATAAGAGCAGCCCTTATAGACTGCCGATTAATTAAGGGTTTTTCAATAATTCCGACAGTTAGGGGGCTTTCTTCGGAGCCGTATTTTTGTTTATTTGATAATACAAACATAATAATATCTAAAATCACTAATTAAAGATATAAATGTCTGCAAAAGTTGCCGGTTCGATAAATGCATATTAAAAGGAATGTATATTCAAACAACAAAAGGGAGGGAACCCGAAAAGGTTTTGGAAATACAAACAATGATTCAAAATAAACGTAGAGAACTTGCTAGTAAAGGAAAATATGTTCAAGGAAGAGCTAATAATTGTGCTGTTGGAGGGCTGAATTTTGTTGATTTGGTAGATTATTATTTTATAACATTCAACATTTCCCTTTACAGCGCCTCAGGCAAAACTTTTGGGATTTTGTTGCCAGATTTCTTTCTTTTTAAGTGACGCAGGCGAAAATTTTGAGCAATTTGGAAGATCCTTAAGCCAAAAATCTTAAAAATACTCGGTTTTAACCGAGTCAGTCGATTATAAAGTGTCCGAGTACGAATACTCCGAGTATTAGGATTCCGAGTTCCGAGCCCGTGTAAAGGCGAAAAAAACCCGAGCGTTCGAATCAGGGCTGATCGAAATTTCGTTTCGTTTCGTTTCGTTTCGCTCTTTCGTGCCTTTTTTTCATTTCGTTTCGTTTCGTGACGAAACAAAAAAATTTTTATTTCGTTTCGTTTCGAAACGAAATAGACAAAATTCCTGACGAAACGAAACAAAAAATAAGTGAGAAAATGCACCCCTAATGACGGGAATTTATGGAAATAATCATTAATTTTTTAGTTATTTCTGTCTTATGAGCAGCCTAAAATAAAAAAATTTCGCCTGCGGCGCTGAAAATGGGAGAAATTTGGCTTCTTGAGCTCCAAAATTCAAAAAATTTTCACCTGCGGCGCTAAAAAGGAAGAAAGCTTTCACGAGGTTTGCTAGAGCAGACCAGCTTTCCGCCGTCCAAACTACTGTAAAGCATATAGCTATTTAATTCCTAAGGCTGAGCAGTAGGCGGCGTGGTGTAATGGCTAACACATCAGTCCGGTCTACTGAAGATGCTGGTTCGCTCCCAGCCGCCGAATAACCTTTTGCACTAGCTAAAGGAGAGAAATAGCTATAGCCCAGCTGCTTTACTGGTAGCACTCTGGTAGCACCGATTAAAAGCGATTTCAGGGAATTGTGGGTATTAAGAATAGGGGGATTTAAGATTGGAAGGGGATATCGGGGGATTAAAGGGATATCGGGGGGATTCTGTGTATATTCAGATTTTATGGATTAAGTGAATATAGGTGGCTTTGGGAGGTGGATATAGAAGATATCTCTTTTATCCCTCTTAATCGATATCTAAATTGGTATATCCAAAGTGAATTTGGCTATATTGTGGATTTTAATAGTTATCGGATGATTAAAGTGTATCTATGTCGATTTAAGGGGATTAAGATGATATCGGCAGATTTGTAGTGTCCACTCTTGTTTCTGCTATTCTTTTGTCACGCATCTAGCTCTTGGGGTGCATTTTTATGATTTAAATAACGATTAAAAGCTTTTATGAACTCAAAAATAAATATTTTTAAATTTTTATTTTATTTCGTTTATTTCGTTTCGTTTCGTCCGAAACAAGCTCATTTCGTTTCGTTTCGCTCCGAAACGAAATAGGAATTTTTTTATTTCGTTTCGATTCGAAATAAAAAATATTTTTATTTCGATCAGCCCTGGTTCGAATCGAGTGTACTCGAACTCGCTTGAACTCGACTTACTCTAGTACATACATACATATTTCGATTTTCAATACCTAACTTAGAATATCTGATTTTTATAATATTCTAGCAAAAGTCATTAATCGCTGCTCAAAACAAACAATCTCTTGACTATCTTCTAATTGTCGAGCAAAATGCTTATCGTACTAAAGCTTCAGGGATTGATGAATGCCATTACAATTCTTCGTGTAATTCTCTTGCTTCATTGCTTACGCGTAAAGAAAATTTAATTGCTATAAAACACGAAAATGTGTGTTGGAATTTTTAAAAACAAAACAAATTCTTTATAAATTTAAAGATTTATATGAAAAAATATACAAAATCTAGTCATGATCCAGGATATCGTGTCTTTTCTCGTCGACCAAAAATTTTAACAGATGGTTTGCTTATTGCTGTTGATACTGCAAGAACTATGCCTTTTTTCGATAAATTGGATTTACCTGATAAGGTGACTAATTTGGTCGATCAGAACCCTGTATTATTGGCTAAATCCGTAAAACCAACTTCTCACAAGTTTCAAAGTATTAGCTCCTAGATGCACAAAATTTTGTATTGTTTAGACCGTATAATACCGATAAATCCTGATGAAATTCAAAATTTTACCGTACCGTACTCTGTAACGTGACTAATTATTGTGTTGCTATATAGGTATTCAGCTTATAAAGAACGAAAATTGACCATTAGTGAAAGGGTCGTTCTAGTGGAAGTTTCTAATAAAACTAACTTTTTGCCGGTTATAATTGTAATATAATCGTCTTTATTATAAAGATTATTTTAATCAAAACAATCACCATGCCGATTTCAAAACTAAATTCGGGGTATTATTGCAGTACGAAATTATCCGAAACTGTTATTTTGCCGAATGGATTTCCAATTAAAAATATTTTCAACGCAAATATTTACAAAGAAGACATGACGTAAATTCTATTTTTGATTAATCTTTTATTATGTGTTAGGATAAGCAGACTTATCAAAAAAATATTTGACGATTCTATGGTTCCATTCAATCGACTACAACTCAGCAAAGAAGAATTTGTTCTCCTTCGGGCTATAATTTCATCACATTTTGTCTCATGTGATTTAAGTCGACATGGTCGACAATTATTACTAACTGAGGCAGAGAAATATTCTGATATGTTGATGAAAATGTTACAGGTGTTTTAGCTTATTCCTTTAAAAAACTTGGGGAATATTGAAATATCTGACATTATGGTAGTAACATGATAAATGGGTCTCTTAATTTTTGATCCCTCTTAATTTTTGAAAATCCTCTGCATCCTTAAAATTAAATATTTGACAACTTAATAATCCCATATCCCTAAATATTTCCCCAAAATCCTCTTAACCCCTATAATCTCCATAAATCCAACAATATCCCTCTTAATCCCTTCAAATTACAATGTATGGTCCCATAATCCTCCGATGTCCGCCCAATGACGCACACACGAACTAAAATCTTAGAGGATACCCCTGACCATTGACTACTTTGATTATTCAAGATATTTATAATTGTTTATCCAAATCCTTACAAATAAAATTTGCATTGTGATCGCAATTGCAGAAAGAATATGAATGAATAAAATTAACCCATCATTGGGTTGGATGGTAACTAGGGTTTGACCCCGAACGCTCGGGGGTGGGTATGTCGGGGTACGGGGTTTTCGAATTGTTTCGGGGCGGGGTTCGGGTCGGGGGAGCAAAATATGGTCGGGGTTCGGGTCGGGGTACGGGGGTTTAGGAAAAAATTTTTTAAAGAAAAAATGCTCTAAAAATGAGCCATTTGGGTCTATTTTCGTTACTATATTCATAAATTAATGAGAATAAGGTGGGATTAAATGGAAATAAGAGAAATTGGAGTGATTAATTGGATCTGGAGGTGATTAAGGAGGATTTGGAGGGATTAAAGCGGATAGCTGGCATTTATACTGAACTAGGCATTTATAATGTTATTATATCATATTCTATTTAAGAATAACTATGGACCACTGGCAGGAGCTAAAAGATATGCAGAATTGCTTCATTTAATTGAATTTTGCTTCAATTGTGCAAACAATCATAGTCTTTTCTTAAATTATATGGCTTATGTAAAGGAACAGAATAATTTCCATAAATCAATGCCTGAAGCATTTGCTAATCTTTGTCTTGGTTGCAAAACTTGAAATTATTAAGGGTTTTTATTAGAGTGCGGCACGAGAGGGATCCCGGGCGGGATTTTACGGAATCCCGTCCAGAAATCCCGGGTTTTTAACGACGAACGGGATTACCGGGATTAATCCCGCGGGATCCCTCCCGTTCGATCTTTTCCCGGGGACGGGGGGGGGGCTTTAATTAAGTATAGATATTTACAAATATAGAGTTGGAAAAAAATTTTTTTGATAGTTTTCCGTCACTGTATTCAATCTCCTTTATTAAATTTTTTTCGTAAAGAATAAATCTAACCTGAACAAACATTTATAAATATTTTATTTTAATGATTTTATATAATTTTTATTTAATTCAATTTATAATTTTAAATTAATATTTTTTATTTAAAAATGTGTAAAATAAAATATATTTTATTCCAGAACCAACATTTAAAACTCAATCCTTTAACCTTGGTATACGTCCTAATAGAATATCCTAATTTTTCAATATGTATGCATATTAATGAAAAGCTTAAGATATATGCTTTACTTTAAACCAGGTCATATATTAGGACATTAACGATAAATTAAGAGTTAAGCAAAGGCTTAACAAATAGGTATGGAATTAACCAGGACCTCTCTCATTTAAGAGTTGTTGGTTCTTGGACCGAAGGAGCGAAGACTCTCGAGTTTTTCGGTTCGTTTCCAAACCAACAACCCTATTAAAGGAAGAAAGGTCTCCGTACGAATTCCTGTCAATCAAGCGTTAAATGCCAGCCAGCTGGAATTTAATAAAAAAAATTAATATTAATTTAAATTGTTTGCACAGGAATTTAAATTTTATTTAATACTAAATTCAATTTTAATATGTCATTAACAAATTATATCAATGAAGGATTCAATGAAGTAATGGGAAATGAAGGCCTTCAAAATTTTGAAGATTTAAGTGATATTGAAGAAAATAACGAAGAAATTAAAGTTGAGAATCAAAAAGTTGAAGAGAATAAAAATAAAAATTTAAAAGTTCGAAAAGTGGCAACAAAAACTAAATGTAGTATCTGTGAACGTATAGCTAGTGGATATCTCTATTATGGAGTAATTTGTTGTGATGGTAGTTTGCTTGACTAAATTTAAAAATTCAAATATGTTTTCAGGTTGTAAACAATTTTTTAATCGTTGTATTACTTCAAAAAACAAATATAAATGTGAAAATGTTGGGAACTGTAATTTGTCGACTAGTAATTTTTTGCAATTAAATGGATGTTATATTGGTGGAGGGATGTTAGATAAAGATGGGGACTAGGGTTGAACATTACGGGTACCTGATGGGGACTATTTTAGAAAATAAGAGATACCCTTATAGATTGCCAATTAATTAAGGGCTTTTCAATAATTCTTACAGTTAGGGGCTCTTAAGGGGCTTTTTTAGATCCGTGTTTTTGTTCATTTAAGGAAGCGAATATTATCTAAACAATACTAATTAAAGATATTAATGTCTGCAAAAGTTGCCGTTTCGATAAATGCATATTAAAAGGAATGTGTATTCAAACAACAAAAGGGAGGGAACCCGAAAAGGTTCTGGAAATACAAACAATGCTTCAAAATAAACGTAGAGAACTTGCTAGTAAAGGAAAATATATTCAAGGAAAATCTAATAATTGTGCTGTTGAAGGGCTGAATTTTGTTGATTTGGTAGATTATTATTCTGTTTTATTAGGCCGTTAGTTTTCCCTGTATTTTAAAATATACGAGGGAAGTATGTATTTTCAGATTTTATTTAGTCTATCTCAGGTGTCCTCCTCAATTTAAATTCTCTTCTGCTCCAAAAATGATGTTCTTTTATACCGTAACCATCAAAGCCCTTCTTTTAGAGTAATCCATTTAGTTCATAGTACCTGGGGTGGCTAGTGCCACAAAATACGAGACACGAGATTTACGTGATACGAGATCTCTCAAAAAATACGAGATTTCACGAGGTACGAGATATTAAATATTTATTGTTTTTCAAAATTATTTATACATAAAATTGTAAAGTCGAAAATATAAGGGTTAAAATTAGGTCAGTATCGTTTCTCGGTATCGGTCTCGGCTCAAAATGTTAGTATCGGTCTCGGTATCGGGTTCTTGAGTATCGGTTAATCTCGGTCTCGGGTTGGCCGATATCAGTATCGTTTTGTCCAACTCTAGTTTAAATGGACAATGATTACAGGTGGATTATAAAGGATATTGTGGATTTAGAGGATCAAGGAGATTTATTGAGATATCGTGGATTACGGAGAATATCATGGGAATTGGAAGGATCAAGGGGAGTTATGGAAACAGATACCATGGGATTAATGAGGTTGTCAACTGATTGGTTGTCAACACACGATAAGGAGGCGAAGTTTTTCTGAGCCACTCCATGATTCATAATATCCTCTTAGTCACTCGATATCCTACTTCATTTTTACAATCCAGTAATATCTCTCAAAACTGACCCCTCCTGATATGTTCCTATTTAGATTTTCAATAACTTAAAATTTCTCATTTTTATAATACCGTATTTGCTCTATTAATCCCCCAGTCCTTTATTAATCCCCCAGGCTCTATTAATCCCCCACCCTGGAGATGGGTTGAAACAATAATCCCCCTCTTTCTACCCCACTCTAATAATCCCCCAGGCTCTATTAATCCCCCACCCTAGAGATGGGTTGAAACAATAATCCCCCTGGGGGATTACTAGAGCAAATACGGTATTCTAGCAAAAGTCATTAATCGCTGCTCAAAACAAACAATCCCTTGATTATCTTTTAACTGTCGAGCAAAATGTTTGTCGTACTAGAGATTCAGGGATTGATGAATGCCATTACAATTCTTCGTGTAATTCTCTCACTTCATTGCTTACGCGAAAAGAAAATTTAATTGCTATGAAACACACGGTTTAAATTTAAAAACAGAACAATTTTTGTTATAAATTTAAAGATTGGATTGCAAAAATACCCTAAATCTGGTCGTGATCCCATAGAAGGACAACGAGTCTTTTCTAATCGACCAAAACTTATGACGGATGGTTTGCTTATAACTGTTGATACTGCAAGAAGTATGCTTTTTTTCGATAAATTGGATTTATCTGACAAGGTGACAACCCTGATTATTTTTGGCTAAATCCGTAAAACCGTCTTTTCACAATTTCCAAAGTTATAGCTCCTAGATGCACAAAATATTTTATTGTTTGGATTGTATTTATGACCCCGTTTTCCTGGAGAGTATTTTAGTTATTGTTAGTGATCGGTAGGGCTGGCAATTATATATGGAAATCCATATTTTTTTCCTGAATTGCTTAGGGTCTGAAAACCACGAAAAACACACTTTCCGCTTTGCTAGCTTTCAAAAATAAGAACTTTTATTTCCAAATTTTTCCATAGCATAGTACCGTATTCGCACAGTATTTAATTTTTCCATACCGTATTCCGTACCGTACTACCGATACGGAATACTGATAAATACTTAAAAATACAGCCGTAGCACGGTACGGTCTGATCACTAGTTTTGTGTTCTCGGTATAGTTAGCCTATAAAGAACGGAAATTGACCATTCAGCGAAAGGGCCGTTCTGATGGAAGCCTCTATAAAACTAACTTTTAAAGTTATATATGTTATACATCTAATTGTCTTTTTTATGAAGATTATTTTAATCAAAACAATCACCATACCGATTGCATCACTTAATATACGGTATTATTGCAGTAAAATTTTATCTGAAACTATTATTTGGCCGAATGGATTTCCAATTAAAAATGTTTACAATGCAGATATTTACAAAGAAGACATGACGTAAATTCTATTTTTTGATTAATCTTTTATTATGTGTTAGGATAAGCAGACTTATCAAAAAAATATTTGACGATTCTATGGTTCCATTCAATCGACTACAACTCAGCAAAGAAGAATTTGTTCTCCTTCGGGCTATAATTTCATCACATTTTGCCTCAGCTGATTTAAGTCGACATGGCCGACAATTATTACTAACTGAGGCAGAGAAATATTCTGATATGTTGATGAAAATGTTACAGGTGTTTTAAATTATTCCTTTAAAAACTTGGGGAATATGGGAGTTTCTGACATTTATGATAGTAGCATGATGAATGGGCTGATAGGAGGTGGTTCAGCTTGATAGGATAAAAGTGCATTTTCGAATAAATGTTTCTGTACAGAAATAACGGATACCGTAAATACCCTCATTGAAGACCGGCTCTATCCGAAACTCGTATATCATTGAATCCTTTAATTATTCAAAATATTTATCATTTTTATCTAATAAAACAATTCTAGTAGGTACTTCAAAAAATAAACTGTCTCTCTCATTTAGAAGCCAATATGATTTCACTCATGTGATCTATTGAAAGATAATATAAAAGATATAATTTTAATTAAATTTAATTAAAGTGGTTTTAATTAGAGCATTATAAGTTCCAAAGAAGTTGAAACTTTTAGTTAATATCTTCGGAAAATATTTCATAAACTAGAAGTCGATGATCTAACGAGACTAAAACCTTAGCGGACTAACCACAACCATTGAATATTTTGATTATTCAAAATATTTATCATTGTTATCAGATCCTTGCCAATAAAATTGTATTGTTACGCACTTGCAGAAAGAATATAAATAAAATAAATAACCAATCATCGGGTTGGATGGTGGCACAGTCGGTCGTGATTCTTTCTGGGCTCATTCCTGATGGTTCTAAATATTCCATCTCACATTAAATGAATTTTTCCACAGCATACTATTAAAATATTCAATCTCAGAATCAATATGGACCATTTCCGGGTGCTAAAAGATATGCAGAATTGCTTCATTTAATTGAATTTTGTTTCAATTGTGCATACAATCATAGTCTTTTTCTAAATTATATGGCTTATGTAAAGGAACAGGGTTATTTCCATAATTCAATGCCTGAGGCACTTGCTAACCTTTGTCTTGGTTGCAAAACTTGAAATTATATTGCATGTCGATGAAGAAATTAAGGATTTAAAGATTTTATATAAATCCGATATTTTTGTGGAATTTCGTTTATACTTTTTGAGGTGACTCAATGATTCACCCCCAATGGTATAATAATTTCACTTTTCGATGCTCTTTGTGAATATTCGGCCTCTATATTTCGAGATAAAGATTTTAATTGCATTATTTGTGTTTATTTAGTATTTCGTCTAATTAGGTAATTATTTTGAGTGAATAATTAATTTGAGATATTTGTTCCGTATTTCAAAAAATAGGAAGGTGAAAACTGACAGGAAAAAAATGAGAATGCAAGAAAAGTAAAGAAAAGACTACTTGGATTCAAATTCGCGACCGTATACAAAATCAACAATCAGGTAATGAAGAAAGAATTTGACTTGGATGCATAAATAGCATCAGAATCAGAACTTCAGAACGGATAAAATTTAAGAATAAAGTTGATCACGCCTTTCAGCTATCAATTTTATCTTAAGTGTATACCTTTCCACTTGAATATTTTTTTATTTTATTCATACCGGTTTTTGAATAGATATAGTCAACTAATTTATAAACTGGTTATTTTTTAATTATATATTTTATTATGATAAGTGTGTTGACTTGAATTTAATTTTTAAATTTAATTGACAAATTTATTCTTTCTTTAGTTTAAGAGAAAAAAAGTGAAAGTGAGTAATGTTTTAATTTATTTATTAATGTCTTTTACCTAATTAATATTATCGATAGTTGATCAGATTATGTATACCATGATCTACTATTCATTTTATTTATTTTTTATTTTAAATTTAGTTACAAGAATATATAACATCTGGTACACCGGAAGTGAAAATTACCTTAAATGTTCTAATAGAACAACATTTGCTTTTATTTTTCGATCCTCTAGTAGGATATAGTTATATTAGAGAGTGTGCTTATTCACAGAGTTTGGTTCATTTAGAACATTTACGGTATAATATTACTTTCAATACAATAAACGAATTTTTCGTTCCAAAGTGTACACATCAGCAACGGAATCGAAAATTCTCGATTTTCATCGAATTGATGCCATTTATAAGCTCCGATTGTTAGAAATAGGGTTTGTCATCGATATGACAAAGAAAAAAGTTTCACGTCGGTTTCACCAGATCATCGGTTTCACCAGAACCTAGTTAAGAATAGGGAATTGGCCGTAAGGATGCCTGATACACATTTATAATATCCGACGTTTAAGAGTTCCTCTAACCTTTAACTTCCTATTACTTTGTGTTTTTTCGTTTGAATGATCCTGCCTCCACTTTTTTATTAATAAAAACTGAAACAATAATTTTTAAAATTCTTCTATAAATTTAAATATCGTATTTTTGGGAGGATTTTTGCAAAATATTTTTTTGAACTAAATGCATAGTTAAATTTCGAATATTATTAATACTTATTTTTATATTCTCTTATTCAAAATAATTTTTAAATGACAAGTTAGTAACTATTTTAAAATATTTTAAAGATAATGCTTATATCCCTTCCAATATTATTATTTTTATTAAATAATATTTATTGTAATCCACCAACAATTGATGAATGTAAAATTAGGGATAATATAAATGATTACCTTCATAATTGTTTTTTGTATGGTTTTTATTTTTAAAAATTTTCTTAAAATTTTATTAAAATTTTAAGTTGTTACCAAGAATTACTTGTTTGCCTTTTCTCTACCGAATTAAAATGTGATATGGAAAAAAGTTTTACTAATAGAGAATATTATTTTGATTATTCTAATTGTAAAGATTTATATTCGGGTTGTGCTACAGCTGAGAAAAATGGATGTTTAGATGGTTATTGTAAATGTGAAAAGTAATGAGAGTTTATTAAATAAATAAAATGTTACAAATTTATTTAATTAAAAAAATCATTCTGTGTTAGAAACGTGGGTACAGCCCAAGTAACGGCGCAAAGCCATAACTTGCTTCAAGATTTCCGAATTTTACCAAATTTAGTATTAATCGATTCCTTTCATCGATGTAAAGAGATTACCGTTATGACCGCGAGCCTACTTTGGTGTGTCCCTAAAAACGTGTACCTTTTGAATAGATTTTTTTACAAATAAAGGGAAGAATTTTAATTTCGCTAGAATGGGGGTAGAAATGTTATAGTTGATTAAAGCTGCCTGTTGCTCAATTAGCCATGTTTTAGTTAGAGGAATAGAGGACTTTTAAATATCGAATCATTGTCAGAGTATTATTTATTTGTAACTGTGATAGTCTAAAAGATAATATTATTGCTAAGAGAATTCCTAATTTTTTTGTAAAAAAATATTAAAAAATAATTTAAAAATATTTTTATAAATTTTTTAAAACAACTATTCATAAATAATTTAAAAAAAATAAATTTTTATATTAAAGATTAATGATTGGTTGTATAACAAAAAATAAATGCCGTCCTTTACATGATAAAAAATTAAATAAATCATTAAGCAACTTTTATTGGTTTATTACAAATTATAAAGTAGAATCTGCAATTACTATGGACAAAAATAAACCTATGAATACATCTTTTGTTTCTGTTAATTATTTTGATGGAATATTTAATTCTCTTTTGCATAAATTAATTAAATAATATTTTCCTTAATATTTTGAATAAATTTAAAGAGACAGGAACGAAAGTTCGGGAGCGGTTTTCTCGTGTCAGTAAAAAATGATGGTGGTTAAAAAACCCCAGAACGGCGAAAAAGGTGTTAAAAGCCTTTTTAAAGCCGGTCTTTAATAGAGACCGGATCGATACGATATATCGATGAAAAATATCGATATATCGATGTCGATATTATCGATACGGATATTATCAATCAATAAATTTTTTCCCGTCATTGGTACAACTTCTCCCGTCGGGAAAAAATATCGAAAAATATCGACGATATTTTTTTTTGTTTTTTTTTTTGTTTTTCGAAATAGATACCGATATTATCGATCGATCACTCAAGTCCGGTCTCTAGGGGACTGGGCCATTAGGGCGCGGGGCCATTAGGGCGCGAGCTTATAAAACAGTGAGTTGCTTATCAAAAAGATAAAATTTTGCAATAATAACTCTCATGCCTTTACATATCTACGTTCTCCAAAAATTTCAGAATTTTTGATCAAGAATTTCGGAAATTGTGGCCAAAAATGTTGATTTTCCGAAAAAACCCTAATTTTTCGCGGTTTATCGACTATAACTTCAGAAATATTGGATGAAAAATTCTGAAATTTCTGGAGGAGGTAGTCAATGATGTTAAAGAAATTTGAGAAAATTTTCATAAATTTCGGTTTCGCCTAAGTGTCAGTTTCTAGTGCTGGCGCCCTAATGGCCCCGCGCCCTTATGACCCCAACCAGTCTCTAGTCTTCAACCCTTTTTTGCCCGTTCCGTTCTTTTAATTAACCATTTTTTGTATAGCAGCCAGTTTGTTAAATCAAAAATAATATGTAGTATTGAGAGAAATCTTGGACAAGGACATTGAACAGAATAGTTATTTTGAAAGATTCGTAAAATTAAGTATTTATTTGTTAAATTATTTATAAATTTCTAATTTACATTCACATTTTAACATTAAAGTACAGATAAACATATTTATTTTTATCTTTAAAAATAGACTCAGATAATTATAAGTAATTAGATAAAATAAATAAACACAAATAATAATGTACAGTTAAAATCTTTATCTCGAAATATCACAGAGAAATTATAAAGGCTGAAATATTCACAAAGAACATTGAAAGGTTAAATTATTATCAGTGCTGGGTATGGCTCCGGGAGCTAGCTCCGGAGCCGGCTCCGGCGGAGCCGGAGCCGGAGCCGGAGCTAAGATTTTGAAAACCCCGGAGCCCGGAGCCGTAGCCAAGGTTTTCCAATTCCCCACGGCTCCGGCTATACACCCCTAAAGTTGTGTTAGAGAAAAAGAAGTAAGCAAAGATGGTAGGCGAGAAAAGAAAAGGAAGAGAAAATTGGGCTACCCTACAACTCATCGAATCCTTAACTCATCGAATCCTCAACTCATCGAATCGGCCAAAAACACTCAACTCATCGAATCCTTAACTCATCGAATCCTCAACTCATCGAATCGGCCAAAAACGATCAACTCATCGAATTTTTCCAAAAGGGGACGTTTGAGTCCCCGTGTTTATTTTTTAGATTTTTTATTGTTTTGTTTATTTTTTTTTGTTTTCTTCTGGGGTTTCAACTAATTTTGTTAATTAGTTGATCGGGCACTCATCCAAGTTTATCCGGCCAGTGAAAACATTATCAGAACATTATCTCATTCCTAATAAATTATGCTGGAGATTTTACCGGGTAAAACCGGACCAAATTAGTCCAGTAGACCCCGATTATGCCCAAAAGCCCTTTTTCCTAGCCTCCATAGCAGCAAAAAAATTTTTCAACGAAGATTCAGTTAGCCCTTTCGGGAGAAAAATAAAAACAGGGGACTCAAACGTCCCCTTTTGGAAAAATTCGATGAGTTGAGCGTTTTTGGCCGATTCGATGAGTTGAGGATTCGATGAGTTAAGGATTCGATGAGTTGAGTGTTTTTGGCCGATTCGATGAGTTAAGGAATTTTAGCCGATTCGATGAGTTGAGCGTTTTTGGTCGATTCGATGAGTTAAGGATTCGATGAGTTGAGCGGGCACGGAAAATTGAGACGGGTAAAAAAGATTTTCTTTCCTTTCCTTTCTAAAGTAGTTGTGGTTGAATGGATAGTGTTCCGAGTTTTATCCAGTTATAAGTTCGAAAAATATTACAAAAAATGATTAAATAATTGTTTTTCTTTGGAAAACAAATTATAATAAGCATTTTTTAAATAAATAAAGCTGGATAAATTTTTTAAATTGATTAATTTTAGTCTCCTGTGAGTCAAATTTTTCAAAATTTTCGCCTGCGGCGCAAAAAAGCGAGTGATAATGAGAATGATAAATCAAATCCCCCTTAATCCAGCTTAATTCCCCGATATCGCCCTTAATTCACAAGATAATCCACCCAAATCCCGCTTAATCCGTTGATAACCCTCTTAATCCTCTTATATCACTCGATATCACTCTTTATCTACCCAAATCCCCCAATGAAAAATAATTCATTGATTTTCCACCCGGAGCCCGGAGCCAACATGGAGCGGCTCCGAAAATCGCCGGCTCCGGAGCCGGAGCCAAGATTTTGAAACCCCGGAGCCGGAGCCAACAAATGGCAAATACCCAGCACTGATTATTATACCTTTGTGGGAGACTCACTGAGAGACTCACTCACTGAGTCAGCCCCAAAGGTTTAAACAAAATTCCACAAAAATATAAAAAATATTGGATTTACATATATAAAATCTTTAAATCATTAATTTCGTCATCGACATGCAAATTTGTTGAAAAAAAAATACTGCATTTTAACGGAAAAGAATGTTAACCTAAATTAATAGATATACCATATATAATATAAAAAAAACAAATTTCAAGTTTTGCAACCAAGACAGAGATTAGCAAATGCTTCAGGCATTGAGTTATGGAAATAATCCCGATCGGTTACATAAGCCAGATAATTTAGAAAAAGTCTATGATTGTTTGCACAATTGAAGCAGAATTCAATTAAATGAAGCAATTCTGCATATCTTCTAGCTCCTGCAAGTTGTCCATAATTATTCTGAAATAGAATATTTTAATAGTATATATGCCGAGTTAAATTATTGTGTTCATGCTGTGGAAAAATTCATTGAATGGGAGATGGAATAGAACTATCAGGAATGGGCCCAGAAAAAAGCACAACCGAATGTGCCACCATCCAACTCGATGACGGGTTAATTTTATTTATTCATATTCTTTCTGCAATTGCTATACAAATTTTATTGGCAAGGATTTGGATAAACAACGATAAATATTTTGAATAATCAAGGCATTCAATGGTCGTAGTCCAAACCGGACCGAAACATATGTCATTTGATTCGTCTCGGCGAGCTGAGTCGAACGGTACCACTCATAAATGCCTGTGGACCGAGATATAGGTCCCTAAAATTTGAAAAACCATAGGGGGAGTAAGCTCGATTTTGTTGTAAAATTTGATATTTTGAATGTTCGGGGACCTATATCTCGGTCCACGGCCATTTCCGCACATAGAGAGTGGTACCGTTGACTCAACTCGCCGAGACGAATCGAACGACATATGTTTCGACCGGTTCCGTGACTTTTGCGCCGAGAACATTTGCGCCGCGACTTATGCGCCGCGACTTTTGCGCCGCGACTTATGCGCCGAGCGACTTTTGCGCCGGGGGACTTTTGCGCCGCGACTCTTGTGTTAATTAAAAATAATAAATGCTCTAATGCTCTAACTAAGACCGTCCGAAGATATCCACTAAAAGTTTCAAGTCTTTGGAACTTATGTTGTACATATATACCGTAATTTTGGAAGGCGTAGTGACAGAAGACCCACAGACGAAAGACCCACAAGAAAAATTTTTAACCAAAATTTAAGAAGAAATTTTCTGAAATTTTTGAAAAAGACACGTCTATTGTTCTAGGCCCAAGATTAAAAAAATATTTTTAAAATATTGAAAAAAATTATTCCAAAGTTAATCAATGAAATTTGATTAATGAAAAATGGATTAAAGAGTCGGGTGATTAATTGGGATATGTAGGAATAGCGTGGGATTTTGGGTAAAACCTCAATCGAGGTCGATGGGCAAATTTTGGTCCATCGGTTCCAGTTCCAAACTGTTCCAGACATTTATTGGTTCTACGGTCCCAGTACCGGAACTGGAAACGCAAAACAACTTCCCTCTTAGAACAACTTCAGATGTTGTGAAAACAATTACCTAATAGATTAATAGTTCCTAATTTTCGGCGCCGCATGCGAAA